GTGCGCACCGCGCGGGCCATGCTGGACAGAGACTCGCTGAAGCAGAGCCTTGTAGTGGTTGTCCAGGACCATGGCCAGCCCCCTCTCTCGGCCACCGTGATGCTCACTGTGGCTGTGGCTGACAGCATTCCGGATGTCCTAGCTGATTTGGAGAGTATCAAGATGCCCTCTGACCCTGAAGACCCCAGCCTCACGCTGTACTTGGTGGTTGCCTTGGCTGCGGTATCCTGTGTCTTCCTGGCCTTTGTCATTGTGCTTTTGGCGCTCAGGCTAAGGCGCTGGCAGAAATCGCGCCTAATGCAAGCTTCAGGCGGGTTGACAGGCATGCCTGCCTCACACTTCGTGGGTGTAGACGGGGTGCGCGCTTTTCTGCAGACCTATTCCCATGAGGTCTCCCTCACCGCGGACTCCGGAAAGAGCCACATTATCTTCCCTCAGCCCAACTACGCCGATACGCTCCTTAGTGCAGAGAGTTGTGGGAAAAGCGAGCCTCTTCTTATATCCGATCAGATCAATGGAAACGAAGAACGCGGAGATTTTCAGGTTAGTCTTCTTTTTCATTAGGGATTACTGGAGCATTGTTCTCTCAACAATTCTTCTGTTGCTTTCACGTTCCGTTAGTTATTACATACAGTACATTATTTCTTTATTAAAACATTAATTTGAAAGGTGATGTTTTCTCCATTTGCTTTCAAGTTATCTGGGTGGTATAGTCTTCCTTTTCCAGGATGTCAATGTTTTAGTAATCTAAACAAACACGCATATAAGCAGTTGCTGTTTGTTGCTAGATAACATCAAGTTGGTTTCAACTCACAGTGGTACCAGACCAAATCGCTGTACAGTCCTGTGCCATTGTCACCCTTGTCACTGTGAAGGACCCCATTGTTGCAATCACTGTGTTAGTGTCTTCTTTTTCACGGACCCCATATACACCATGAGGTCCTTGTCCAGAGGCTGGTCCCTTTGGGAACATGTCCAAAGTGCATTCTAGCTAGACTTCTTCCCAACAAAATTGTTTGTTCTTCTGGCAGCGTGTGGCATAGTAAATATTCTTCACCAGCACCATCATTCAAAGGCATACATTCTTCCTTAGTCATTGTCCAGCAGTTGCTTGCATGTATGAAGGAATGGAAAGCACGAATGAATGAATGAATTCTCAAGGTGACAGTTCGGCTATTTTAACACTCTAGATCCGCCCAATGCGATGGATCATTTGATTTCCTGACTGTTGTTCCCTTGGGTGTGGATTGTGGATCTCAGTAAAATGAAACCCTTGTCAACATTACTCTTTAATTACAGGGATGTTGTTTGTTGGTTTCATTGTGAGTACTTTTGTTGTCTTTATGTCGAGGTGTAATCTGTACTTACTGCTACAGGCTTCCATCTTCACCCATAAGTGCTTTATGTCCTCTTCCCTGACAGCAGGCAAGGTCGTGACACCTGCACACTTCCGATCCTGATATCATGTTTTTCTCCATGTACTCCGATATCTCAGATTATTTGCTCAACATACAGATTAAATAAGCATGTTGAAAAAATGCGACTCTGACACACACTTTTCCTGATTTTGTCATTGTTAGCATTTGAATGATGACTGCCGTTTTTTTCTGTGCATAGTTTTTGCATGTGCACAATTAAATTATCTAGAATTGCCATTCTTTGAAATTTTATCCATAATGTGTTATGATCCACACAATCGAATGTCTTTGCATGGTCAACAAAACACAAGTAAACATCTTTGGAGTCCTTTCTACTTTTGGCTAAGATCCATCTGACATCAACAACATGATATATATCCCTCAATCCCCATCCTCTTCTGAATTCAGCTTGAATTTCTGGCAGTCCTTTGTGGATATACTAATGTAACCATTTTCAAATTATCTTCAGCATAAGTTTACTTGCATATAATATTAATGATGTTTTCTATAACCCAGCTTATCATTTTAAATTGGACATTTATATGGATCTCTTCCAGCCAGCATTCTAGCTTCTAGAATGCACTGCTTCTAGCGTTGCATCCTTTAGTGAAACATCTCGATTGGTAGTCCATCAATTATCAGAGCCTTGTTTTTAGTCAATGATTTCAGTGCAGTTTTCACTTCTCCCTTTGATGCTTTAAGTTCTTGATTATTTGCTGCCTCTGTAAATCACTGAATGTCCACCAATTCTTTTTTGATACAGTGATGCCATGTCCTTCCACCTTCTTTTGATACCTCTTACATCATTCAAATTTTGTCCCTAGAATCCTTCAGTATTTCAAATCAGGCTTTGAATATTCTAATGCAATTCTCTCAGCTTAAGATGTGCTGCTTTCCAACTCCAGGCCTCTAGACATTTCATTGTACTTTACCTGAAATCTCCTGTTGAGCTCTTTTTTTCTTCATCATTTCTTTCACTTTAGCTGCTCTGTGTTCAAGAGTAACCTCAAGAGTCTCCTCAGACTTTCATTTTTGTTTTTTCTGTCTTTTAATAACCATTTTCTTTGTTATAATGTCCTTGAACCTGCATAGAATGTGAGAACTCTACCATTGAATCATTAATGCCTCAAAGTTCGTGCAAGAAAATAATTTACAATGCTTTGCATAATTCAGGGGGAAAGTACAGAAAACTTCTGCATGATAAACATCAAGAAAATAGATTGAATATACATTGAGAATAATGCTGATCCCATCCTTAAATTTGGAAATTTTGAGATCAGCCTTGTAATTATGGAACACACAAAAATATATTGTTGAGAGAAATCAGTGGGAAGGAGCCTTATAATTGTGTCTTATACTATGATGGACTTTATAACGCTGAAAGGTTAGATATTCATTAAATGTATAAATATGCAACACCCTTGGAGTTTCTGGTTACCAGGTCACTTTCAGGCTCAATGTCTACTGAAATGTTTGCATTTCCGGAATTGTAGGTAGAGTTCTACCATGTACAAAAGTATAAGATTAATCTTGGAAAATCATTCAATTTAAAAACAACTTGAAGCTTTAAAATTATTTCTGAAGATTGTGTTTTACTTAAAGTATAGCTTATTTTAATCTAGTTCAGATCTATTGTTCTGAAATTTTATGAGTGTGTGTTGTGTAATGGAAGTACACTTCATTTTCTACGTCTGATTTTCTGAAGATGATCATCAGATGATCCTTGTTAAAATATATCTCAATCTTTCAAACTTTGTACAACCTGAACACCAGCTGCAAAGTATGAATGACTAGAGGGCGATTGTAATAGAGCACTTTAAATGAAATAGATAACTTTATTACTTGACTACATGAAGGTTTTATTGACATACTTGGAATATCGGACCATTTGATATTTTTTACTCATCTAAGGGGATTCAACTACACTTGTATATACGATGAACAATTCTGACCAAAACATAAAATGATAAACTTACTCAGTAGCAAACGCATCCAAAAGGTAACAAGAGGAGCTGTATAGTAGATGCTGATATTGTTCATATTATTCACGTTCAATTATTTTAAAAGGAAAAGTTAAGAAGTTGAGGATGTATTCTCAGAGTTAACCTTATTTTGCAATGAAAAAGAATGTCTCTTAAACCTCTATAAAATATCAGTAATTTTTACATTTGTGTCTGATCAACACACTCTGAATGCATGCACTATAATGCTACATACTATTTAAATAGTTTAGTCTTTGGTTTCATGTGTACTGAATATAACTTTCCAGTGCTATTTTAAAGGTTCATGCAATTGAGCATGTTAGGCATGTTGTGGGACTAAGTCTTGAATCAATAGTGTTCTTTATGTTTGATTATGAAAAATACAAATGGTTGGCTGGAATCTTGATACAATGAACAGCTTAAGATGCTCTAAAACTATTCTTCTATAAGGTGAGTTCAACATCATACACACCTGCTATGTCTTAGAACTAGACTATATGTAGGTAAATCAGTGTCTTGTTATTTTAACTTCAAATCATCTGCCAGAAACATAACACTTTGTATATTTATTGACAAAGGAAGTGTGCCAGTCAGTAAAGGTGGTGGTCCTGTAGCCCCTTGGGAACCACAGAAAAATTAACAATATAAATTACTTTTCTTGGGATATAGATGAACAGAAGATAACAATAAGAACTCATACTTCACCACTCAAACCCCAGTCACTCTCCATTATTAAAATCCTTAGAAAGAAACAATCCAATCCAAAGCAATAATAACATAGTGCAGGGGGAAATATTTTGCTTGTGGGATAGTTTGTTGATCATATGCATTCTATTAAAATTAGGCACTTTAAGAAGATGGTTTGCGCAAAAAAAGGAGAAGATGGTTTCTTGCTTCTTACAACACTTCTATCTTTTTAAAAATCATTTTATTAGGGGCTCATACAACTCTTATCACAATCCATACACACATCAACTGTGTAAAGCGCATTTGTACATTCATTGCCTTCATCATTCTCAAAACATTTTCTCTCCACATTTTTCCCCTCCCTTCCCACTCCCAACACTTCTATCTTATGGCATCATTCAGTCTGCTTAGTTATCATTTTGAAAGGATCCTGAGAAAGATAAGGTAGAGGAAAGTGAAACGGGGGAAATGTAAAGCTTTGAGTTTTATAACTTTGATCATTTCAAAAAATTAAATGTAGTGGAATATCTGAATACACTTCAAAGTGATATTTCAATAATTTTCTACATCTGCCACCATCTTTCATTTGTGTGTTTTCTACTCATTATACAATTTGTCCATCAATGCTACTAAAGAAGCAGCGGAAATGTTTTGAGCACGTGATAAAAATGGAAACTAAAATCACCCAGATGCCATGCCAACATACATCATGAGCAGGGTGGGTGACCGCTACACTTGGACAACTAAAAACCACTTTGGTTTGAACGGATAAAGCTCAAGTTTAAACTAAGGTCAACCAGACTGAAGCTATCTAAACCACCACAATGTAATAAATCCTGGTCTAATGAGGAAACTAAGGAAGTGCCCGCCAGCATACATTGGAATTTGCTCCTGGCCATGTCCCTGCGTGGAGCTGACTTAGAAAAGCGCCGCTTGCAGTTCTGCTGCCTTGGCGCGGAGTGCCGCTGTTGGCTAGCGCTCAGAGAAGTGTCAGCTCCTCCCTCTCTGAGGCCGCAGCACCAGCCGACCGGGATTTTCCCAGTTCTCAGCTGCCGAGTCTCCATCGGAAAACAGATCCGCCAAGACAAAGCAGGTAATCGCGCCTCCTCAGAGAACCATTGGCACCTTTTAGCCAGCGCCGCTCCTGGAAAGCAGAAAGGCAAAGGGGCAGGGAGCGGGATGGGAAGCCCGTGGGAATCCCGGAGAGGACGGAGAGGCCAGACTGGGCGGCCGCAAACGCCCTTTCTCTTCCTGCTGCCTTTGTTCTGCCCCGCGCTCTCTGCGCAGGTCCGCTATGCGATCCCAGAGGAGCTGGCCCGGGGCTCGCTGGTGGGCAACCTCGCCAAAGACCTGGGCCTAAGCTTGCGGGATTTGCCTACTCGAAACCTGCGGGTTAGTACGGAGAAGAAATTCTTTACCTTGAGCCCCGAGAACGGGGACTTATTTGTGAGCCACCGGATAGACAGAGAGCAGATCTGCGGAAAGAAGCCCACGTGTGTCCTGGAGTTTGAAATGGTTGCTGAAAAGCCTTTAAACTTTTTTCACATATCGGTGGAGATACAGGATGTCAACGACAACCCTCCGATCTTTAGCCAAAATACCACTGAGCTGGAAATCAGCGAGCTGGCGCTCCCTGGAGCCACCTTTGCCCTGGAATCTGCCCAAGATTCGGATGTAGGTGTCAATTCCCTGCAGCAGTACTCCCTCAGTCCCGACCCGCACTTCTCTTTGACTCAGAAGGAGAACCCAGATGGCAGCCGGTACCCGGAGCTGGTAGTGAAGGAGCCCCTGGACAGGGAGGAGCAGTGCTACCATCAGCTGACTCTCATTGCCGTGGACGGGGGCGAGCCATCCAGGAGCAGCACTACCCAGATCAGGGTGGTTGTTGCAGACGCAAATGATAACCCCCCAGTGTTCCCCCAGGACGTGTACAGGGTCAGCGTTCAGGAGAGCCTGCCTGCGGGCTCCTCGCTACTGACAGTGACTGCCACTGACCCAGATGAGGGCATCAATGCCCAGGTCACCTACGCCTTCATTAACATTGATAAGGCAGCAAGGCAAGTGTTCAAACTGGAGAGTAAGACAGGGGAACTCACCCTTGGTGGAGGGCTGGACTTTGAAGAGAGAGAGAGCTACACACTTGGAGTGGAAGCAAAGGATGGGGGACATCACGCTACTCGTTGTAAAATACAAATAGATGTTTTGGATGAAAACGACAATGCCCCAGAGATAACCCTTGCTTCGGAATCCAAACATATACAAGAAGATGCCAAGCTGGGGACTGTTGTGGCCCTGATCAGAATGCATGATCTAGACTCAGGAGTTAATGGGGAGATCCTGTGCCAACTAAAAGGGAATTTCCCGTTTAAAATAGTCCAGGATACAAAAAATACATACAAGCTAGTGACCGATGGAATCCTGGACCGGGAGCAGACAGCAGAGTACAATGTCACCATAGTGGCCACTGACAAGGGCAATCCAGCCCTCTCCACCATCATGAGCGTCACCCTGCACATCAAGGACGTCAATGACAATGCTCCGGATTTCCACCAGGCCTCCTATGTGGTCCACGTGACTGAAAACAACCCTCCTGGAACCTCCATCACGCAAGTCAGCGCCTCCGATCCGGATCTGGGACCCAATGGCCAAGTCTCCTACTCCATCGTGGCCAGCGACCTGGACCCGCGGGCGCTGTCGTCCTACGTGTCCGTGGGCGCGCACAGCGGGGTAGTGTTCGCGCAGCGCGCCTTCGACCACGAGCAGCTGCGCGCTTTCCAGCTGACACTGCAGGCGCGTGACCAGGGCTTGCCCGCGCTCAGCGCCAACGTCAGCCTGCGCGTGCTGGTGGGCGACCGCAATGACAATGCGCCCAGGGTGCTGTACCCCACGCTGGAACCTGATGGCTCCGCTCTCTTCGACATGGTGCCGCGCTCAGCGCAGCCTGGCTACCTGGTCACCAAGGTGGTGGCGGTGGACGCAGACTCAGGACACAATGCCTGGCTGTCCTACCACGTGCTGCAGACCAGTGAGCCCGGGCTCTTCGGCGTGGGGTTTCGCACAGGCGAGGTGCGCACCGCGCGTGCCTTGGGTGACAGGGATGCGACCCGCCAGCGGCTGCTGATCGCTGTGCGAGATGGAGGACAACCACCCCTGTCGGCTACAGCAACGCTGCACCTGGTCTTCGCAGACAGCCTGCAGGAGGCGCTGCCGGACCTCAAAGATCGCCCTGAGCCCTCTGACCCTCAAGCTGAGCTGCAGTTTTACCTGGTGTTGGCTTTGACCTTGGTTTCGGTGCTTTTCCTCCTTGCCGTGACCCTTGCCGTTGCCCTGCACTTGCATCGTTCCTCCAGCCCCACAGCGTGGGGCTGTTTCCAGCCAGGTCTCAGCTCCAAATCCGGACCTGTTATTGCGCACAACTACAGCGAGGGGACTTTGCCTTATTCCTATAATCTCTGTGCTGCCTCACATTCCTCGAAGACAGAGTTTAAATTCCTCAATATAAATCTGGAAAATGCTCCACCGCAAGACCTTCTATGTGATGAAGCCTCTTGGGTTGAAAATAGCAGCAATGACAATCCCCAAATAACTTCCAATCCAGTCAATGTGCAACAGGTGAGTGTCTTCCAAATCCCTGCGTTTTATAAATAGAGTTAGGGTTCCATTTATTATACCAGAGGAAGAAAAGTATACAGGCAAAATACCAGTATGTTCCGATCTAGGTCTGTTTGTTAATTTCTCTGAGTGTTGGGTGGGGGAGGATATATAGTATAGGCTTATCTCTACTGCCATTGTTCTTTTGTAAAAAGTGGCCAACATATGATGCTCCTGAATTGCTTGTTAGTTATCAAGTACAATCTGGAAGAATTTAATGCATTAGTACTCTCATGGTCAAAATCTAGAATTTAAGGTAAAGTTAGACAATTAAGTCATTTACTAGTTTTAACTCAGAAAAATGTATTTGATACTTTCAGCCCTGAAATATATATGTAATATGTAGCCTAAGTAAATTCACTTTGTTTTAAATTCATATTTTTAAAAGTTATACAGATATGACCTAAGTTAGGATGGTACTTTATGTAGATGTCAATAAACCTAAACCCTCTGCCATTGGGTTGATTCTGATTTATAGCAACCCTCTATGCCATAGGATTGTCAAGGTAGTAAATCTTTATGGGTGGACATGGCCTCATCTTTCTCAGGTGAAGATTTGGGTTGGTTTGAAACCCCAATCTTGCAGTTAGCCGGGGCTCTAGATGTCTATTGAAACAGATAATAACACATCAAACTGATGACTCTTGTTGTAACTGACACTGTAGTGGATTATATGCTATATGTAGTGAATTAGGAATGTATATTATAAAATAGGGCAAATGTGCATGATAGTGGAGTGTAATGATTCAAGATTTGAGAAAAGTATAATATTTATGTTCCAAGACTCTAAGAGATATGGTTACAAAAATGGTTAATCAATTCTAGAAAACATTTTACAGCATTCAAAATTAAATATTTTGTACTTCCCAATGTTTCACGCTATTTGGGAGAAAACTATTATGGGTGTCATCTATAAGCTTTAGCAGAAATAAAATTCTCAACGAGTTTCACCAACAGTTTAAAGGGGGAAAAAGTGGTGATGAAGATGTGTAGAAATTGAAGGCCTTGTAAATTTCTAGTGCAATGTAAACTGGTGCGACCTTTGTAGGAAAAAGTTTGGTGGCTTCTCAACAAGTTGAGCAGAATTACAATATGTCCAGAAATTCCATTACTTGGTATATACCCAAAAGACGAATTGAAAGCAAACATTCAAACATATCTGTACATCAATGTTAATTTCAGCATTATTTACAATAACCAAAGTATAGAAGCAACCCAAATAATTAGCATATGAACTGATAAACGTGTGATGCAGGATATACAATGGAATATTATTCAGCCATAAAGAAAAATACATGCGACAATGTGGATGAATCTTGGAAACTTTAAATTGAGTGAAATAAGTCAGAGACAAAAGAAAAAATATTGTAAGCCCCCAGCCCCACCCCACCCCGGTTAAATGAAATACAAAGAATAGGAGATTGCAAGATCAAAGCCAGTGTCTGGAGAGAGAGAGACGCAGGAGTTAGCTCTGAAGGGGCTGCGGTAATGGGGAAACGACGTATGAGATAGACATTTGTGAAGGTTGCACAGTATTAATGCAATTCCTGTCACTAAATTGGACGCTTAAGGCGATGGAAATGGCAAATTTAATGTGTGCATGTTTTCAAAGAAAATTTCTAAAACTAGTGCAGTATGAAGTCAGGACTCTAAGTGTCGCTGTTCACTAACCTGGGCGAGAAAAGCAGTGGGACTAGGAGGTCTAACCTGTAAACACAAGCAGATCTGACACAAACGCTCTCCAGCTGCGCAGAAGTTCCAAATGCGAACGCTTCCCTTCTGGACTCTACTGGTTTATGGACCTCTAATCGACCTCTAATGCTGAGAATCGTAAGTGAAGCGGACCTGTCTCCGTTGCATCATCCCAGCGAAGTCCTGGAGGAGCCGGTCATGGAGGCTCCGCAGAGGCGCCGGCCGCGCAGCAGCGGGCTGGTCCTCCTCTTCATGCTCCTGGAGTTGCTGTGGGGAGCCAGGGCCGGGCAGATGCGCTACTCCATTTCTGAGGAGCTAGAGAAAGGCTCCTTCGTGGGGAACGTCGCGAAGGACCTGGGGCTGGAACCCCGAGAGCTGGCGGAGCGCGGAGTCCGCCTCATCTCCAGAGGTAAGACGCAGCTTTTTGCTCTGAACCCGAAAAGCGGCAGCCTGGTCACCGCGGGCAGGATCGACCGCGAGGAGCTCTGCGCTCAGAGCCCGCGGTGCCTGGTGAATTTTAACATCCTGGTTGAGGATAAAATGAATCTTTATCCTATAGAAGTGGAAATAATGGATATTAATGACAATACACCTCAATTCTTAAAGGATGAATTAGAAGTGAAAATTCTCGAAAACACACCTCCATCCTCCCGTTTTCCATTAATGGAAGTCTATGACCTGGATGTGGGAATTAACTCACTTCAGAGCTTCAAGCTCAGCTCCAATAGTCCCTTCTCAGTGGACGTGCAAAGCGAAGCCAATGGGCCCAAGTACCCAGATCTGGTGCTGGAGGAAGCCCTGGACCGGGAGGGAGCAGCCATTCACCACCTGGTCCTAACTGCCATGGATGGCGGGGACCCTGCGCGCTCAGGTGTGGTGCGAATTCAGGTAACTGTTCTAGATGTGAATGATAATGCCCCGGTGTTTACCAAGCCTGTCTACCGGGTGAGTGTTCCTGAAAATCTGCCGGTAGGGACGCCAGTGTTGTCTGTAAATGCCACTGATCAGGATGAGGGCGTCCACGCGGAAGTAACTTACTCCTTCGTGAAGATAACTAAAAAGATCTCACAGATTTTCTGCTTGGATGCCTTGACTGGACAAATATCAACTTGTGGCGATCTAGACTATGAGGACTCCAGCTCCTACGAACTGGATGTTGAAGCACAGGATAGGCCAGGCCTTCGAGACAGGGCAAAAGTCTTCATAACAATCTTGGATGTAAATGACAATGTGCCGGAAGTGGTTGTTACATCTGGAAGCAGGACAGTTGCTGAGAATGCACCCCCGGGAACAGTCATTGCTCTTTTTCAAGTGCATGATCGAGATTCTGGACTAAATGGTCTGGTGACATGTTCCATCTCCAGAAGTCTGCCATTCGAGTTGGAAAAATCCATAGACAACTACTATCGATTAGTAACCAACGCAGTCCTGGACCGAGAGCAGGTGTCCTTATACAACATCACTGTGACAGCCACAGACAGAGGAACGCCGCCTCTCTCTGCGGAAGCTCTCATCTCCCTAAGTGTGGCAGACACCAATGACAACCCACCCACCTTCTCCCACATGTCCTACTCAGTCTATGTCCCTGAGAATAACCCGAGAGGAGCCGCCATCTTCTCAGTGACTGCCCTCGATCCTGACAGCAATGAAAACGCCCAAGTTACTTACTCCTTAGCTGAGGACATCATACACGAGGCACCCGTGTCCTCCTATGTCTCCATTAACTCTGACACGGGTGTCTTGTATGCACTGCGATCCTTTGACTATGAGCAGTTTCAAAACCTGCACCTTAGAGTGACAGCCTATGACAGTGGAGATCCACCGCTCAACAGCAATGCATCCGTGAATCTGTTCATTCTAGACCAGAATGACAATGTGCCCGAAATCCTATATCCCTCCATCCCCACGGATGGATCGACAGGTGTGGAGCTGGCTCCTCGATCTGCAGAGCCTGGCTACCTGGTGACCAAGGTGGTGGCGG